CGTTATAGTTACGGGCAAAGTTAGGTGGTGCAACTCAGCCTTAAACAGAAACACGAGTGGTCCAATGTTCGAAATTCAATTATTAAATGCCTAACGATTTGAGCCCAATAATGCAAATTATTTGCTCGGCATATTAATTATTACGTAATAGTACCTACACCTGATTTGGTTAAAGCATTCATACCATTATAATAGCTCTTTAACAGTGAGTTTCATGAAAACTTATTTCACAGGAAATTTTTGTAGTTTATTTAAATATGGTAAATCGAAACATTAATACAGGATAATTATTTAAAAAAAATAAGACCGTTATAACTTATACAGAACCTATTTGAAAAATCATTTACAGCGAAATTTTTTTCCAGAGGTTTTGAATATTATTTTTTGCAAAACAAGAGAAATAAGCAAACACGCTAACACCCATTTCATAAAGTTAGGCTGAGTTGCACTATCTTAGAATCTTTTTATCTACTCGATATTCTAAATCTTAGGTTGTAAACTTTAGCGTTCCATTTCATCTAAAATAGAGAAACACGGGTCTGAACGCGCCATGTTTTATATGAGTTACATAAGTACTTACGGCTTGACGTCGCTTTGCCGTTGCATGTCGTGTTGAGGAGACCCGTGTTTCTCTACTTTTTAGTTGTCAAAAATCTGTCAAGCTCCATACAAAAACACCTGTTATTGTTATAGTTACGTATAAAGTAAGCTGGTGCAACTCAGCTATGAGGTAGGTACACTACTCGCACTTAACCAAGTTCTTGAAATCCTTTGCGCTGGTAAAAATGTTGACTACCTTCGCGTAATGTTGCACTTAGACCACTGTCAGACGCAGTGGCTCGAGTGCCGTGCTCACTGGGTTACAGGTTCATATCCCACTAATGTGTAGGAACTAGCCCTGCCACTAAGCAAACCTAACAGATTTTTAACTTTTTTGTTATGTGTTCACTCGTGCTTTGACACAGTTTTATTTTAAACTGTGTAGTAGCATACAATTCTTTGCATAAATTACAATCATTATATTTGTTATATTTATTTTGAGTTTATCTGTTATTAATCTAATGACCAAGCACTACATTGAGGCTCGATAATTATTTAGATAGAGCAACAAATTACTCTGTATCCGTCAATCAATTTTAAACCACACAGGCAGGCATTAATTACAGTAGAATAATGACGCAGTAGACAGTTAATCATTTGTATGGCATGCGTGGGTACTTCTCATTTACACTCAAATTTGATGGTCACACAATAATAGTTCATAAACGGTATAAGTTAGAACAATAACTTTGAAATCAGATGATAAAATATCTATTTAGCTACATACAATATAAATTTTATCGTAATAGAAGCAAATATAATACGACAAAATCACATGAAACGATAAAAAACGGGGTCATTTTTCGCGTTCTCATCGTGTCACACCTTCGGTTGCAATGAAACATTTGGTTACTGCATTCACAATTTTCATTCAATTTGTGTGTAGCATATACTAAAATCATCGTAATTAAATATACTTTCCACACAATAGTAAAAAAAATATCTTCTTATAATTATTTTGAATTGAGAAAGCGAAATACGTTGGTCACACGATTTTAGGTACCTAAAATTTTGAGTAATAATACAAGATTGTCGTTAAACCGAACACCAGCAACCAATCACAGCGTTCTATTCGGTTAGCGTCAGTCGCGCTTCGACCATTGGGGAGGTTAGATAGGTCGATCGTCGCTCCGCGAAAAAAATACGTAACTTTTTGTGATTATCCATAGACATACCGTCGCTTGCTTGAACAATATTTTCTACCTCTAAAATTTAAACAATTTAATTGAAACTTTGCCATTGAAAACTTAACATGTTAGACTTATTTGTGTAGTATTCGACTTGAACCGTTAAATTCAAATTTAAGGATAATTCATAAAAAACTAAAAATTTCGTCACCTTCGTGGCATCACCTTCGTGGTGTTTTATACACGAAGGTGATTTTAGGCCACGAAAGTTTGTGTCCAAAATTTTTGACTTTATCGATCGATATCTCGATAACGATGCATGATACGCTAAAAATGGTTCGGGCGTTATTGTAGAGCACAAAGAAAGCTACAAAAAGTGTCCTACAAAAATTTTCGAATCTCCTCGGATAGCCGAGTTATTGCCGAAAAACAAATTTTAAGCGTTTTCCAAGATGGCGGCGAAAGCTCCTAGGAAAGCTTGGTCGACAATCTCAAGTTAAGCTTATCGAGGTATCCCCTACAACATATTAAAAAATTAGAAGCGCAAATTCATTTTCTTTTATTTGCCTTTTTTTCGGACGAAATGACTGGACTAAATTTCGAATCGACAGTGGAACACACCGAAGGGATTAGAAGAACTAGCAAATCTGCGGGTAGGGCGATTTCCCGTTCAGCACGTGATCTGCCCACGACTTGTAGGGTTGCCAGTCTGGAAGAATATACAGGATGGAATTTTGTAATCCCACCTGGAGGAAAAGTACACTTAATACTGTAGATATAAAATTTTGCACAAAGAAAACATTATTTTATGTTTGAAAAGAAATAGAACATTCAGAGATTTCCAAAAATTTTCTTACCAATCCCGGGAATCTATTAAAATTTACACCCTTTATTTTTATTGCATCGACCGTCAGGATTAAGTATAACAATAAAATATCTCTTATATACTTGATATATCAAATAAAAGAAAACAGTAGTATTAGTGTCACGCGGACTGTCAGTGCGGATCGCTCCGCACTGCCGATCTGTATGAACTGCTAGGGAGCGAGCGGTTCCTCCGGACCGGACCGCATTACTCTAAAACGATCCCTATAAGTTCATACAGATTGGCCGTGCGGAGCGCGTCCGCACCGGATGGTCCGCGTGACAATAAAACCAGCCTAAGTCAACGAGATCATAACAAATTATATGTCACGTCCACCTGTCGTAGTGGCAGCCCTAGCTAACGGTGTCGCCAGTGATGTGCGCTCGATAACTGTCGATAATTGAATGCAAATTCGTCTGTCACGGTCACCGCGCTAACGGCACCGCACTACGCATCTCGCTTGTCGATGGACGAAGCGCCAGCAGACTGATAATAAAATTGTGACACATTTTGATTGATAGATAGATAGATAAACATAAAGTACACCACACAAAACAAAAGAAAGAAATACACAAAGTAGACGGCACCATTGGCCGGCAATACACGGACAGCTCGAGCAGTCAGTCAGTGATCAACATACACGGACCGCTCTTGCAGTCAAGAGTCAACAGCTTGAAGCTGCCAGTGATAACTGCTCGAGCAGTTGGTATTAACTGCTCAACAAATCTCAAGCGCGCGTGCCGTGGAATGAAGAACACGCTGTGGAGTGACAAGCAAAGGAAACGACAGTTTCAAAAAAACCAAGTTATTAGATACAATGCTGCAGTTGTTGTAAAATACTTGTAAGTTATCAAACCAATAGCCAAGCTATCAAAACTCCTGCCCTGAACTCTGAAAGAAACCAAACTACCTAACTGGACAACAAAAATGATTCTAAAGGTGAGTCTATGCTAGAGCCAAGCACCACGAACGCTCTACTATGTCCGAGGAGAGTGACGCCCGTATTCACAAACGATGCTTACTTAAGTGAAGCATCAAATCGAACTCACAACGTTGAATCTTTGTAAATACAGTCGTGATTGTTGTAGGCTAGTTTTCGTCGTATGTCCACATTTGACACCTTGAGTAGGGCGGCTCGACTTGCGCTCAGCTCTACAAACTCAGCTTTATAATCTTTTCTAACAAGAAATCCACGAACTACTAGATTGATGTACCACTTTACCCACTTTATAACTCCACTTTCTTGTATATGGACATGGCATCACATATGTATATGGACAAAGGAAATGAATTTAATATAATGCCCTGAAAGCAATATATTACAGATTCTGTGTAAAGCGCATTACAGATACTGCTATCTGCCTTATGAACGATTCCCTGAATTTAAGCATCATAACAAAATCGTTCCTTGAATTTCAACTTGTTGTGCTCGTAATTGCAAATTTTCCTTTGTTAAGCAGCTTAGTAGAATCTGATAAGGCGTAATAACAAAATCGACGTTATTTTCAGATAAAATCGGCTAAGTGCCCACCCTCTTTTAAGCTTGAGGCAGTAACGCGATCTTTTCTAATTGCTACTTAGGACGGATTAAAATGTATATTGAGACGGGCTGTTAACCTGATCTATCTTAACAAGCCTACACACAAAATAAAAGACACAACCTTTTATAAACATAAAGCTTAATCCATAGATTGGGTAGTACGTAGGTAGGTACCTAATAATAAACGACTTTGTCTTAATTCGAAAGGCACAAATAGGAATCAATTTGCGTTATGTATTGCTTCTGATAGTCTACGTTATGGTTGAAAAATTGATGAAAAAATGTGCATAGAACATGTCGAAAATTCGACGTCTTATTCGGTCCGGCCAATAGATGAAGAAGATCTATAAATGATGGGTTATTGTTACGAGTGCATTGTTTTAAAGCTCTTTGTTACATTTGCATGCTGAAAAGGCTGATCACAATACGCTAGTAATCCTTTTTCCATTTGTAAATATGAGTAGTGACTCATACTCGTATGTACAAATGGAAAAAGTAATTACAAAACATTACTAGTGAGTAATGTTTTGTATAAAGATTACTAGTTATTTTTGATATAATGTTAGGCCCTCCAGCGAAATACCTAAGTATATGCTTTAATTAGGAGCTCACAACCACAAAAGTCTATGTATCGAACTATTGAGCCTTGATTAAGTAATCCAATGCCGACACCATCAAACGATGGTCACCAAAATTCGGTTTGATTTCGTAAATGCGAACATCAAGCCTCCGCAACCCGTTTGACCAAGAATTGGCCAAATTCTCAATTTGCCTCAGTCTCCTGCAGTGGATTTGTCCTGATGATGACGATGATAATACAGTTTTTCCCTGATAATGAACGATTTTCTAAACCTCATTTTTGTTGCAGTCCTAAACGTGGCAGCCGGCAAGGCGCCCATGCAGGCGTCCACGGAAGACGGCGGGGTGCCCCAGAAGGCGCTGGATGGAAGCTCAGCCTCCACCTTCAGCCCTGAGACCTGCACCTTAACCAAGGCTGAACGCGTGCCCTGGTGGTACGTGAACCTGCTGGAGCCTTATATGGTGCAGCTGGTCAGGCTGGACTTCGGGAAACCATGCTGCGGTGAGTCCTTTTTTTTATCCACATCGAGGAAACTCTGGCCTGTATCTCACCTTATCTGAATGATGATCAGACCGAAGGTGGAAGCGAGCTTCACCCTTACCTCTAACTGCCGCAACACAGCAATGCTGTTAACATTGTTGTTATGGCGACAGACTTAGGTAAGATGGTGGTAGCTAGCCAGGCGTACTTAGAACAAGCCGTACCACCAACCAGACCGAACAGAAAAATCTGCTCCCACTGGGAATCGAACCCGGGACCTCTGCGTCTGAAGCAGGTGGTATTACCACTAGACCACAGAGGCGGTTAGTCTTTATCATTATCCTCAATCCCTAGACCCAAAGGGCTTCGGACTTCTCTATGGAAGCTGGTATATCCACAAGCCGCCATTTTGTCATTTTTCTTAAAGTTTCCACGCTCGACAAACTTGACTTATGGTCCTATGACCCCTAGATGGGGCAGAGGGCGTCCACAACAGTCCTCCATCTCGTTCGGTCTTGAGCTTTTCGCTTGATCTCGCTCCAGGTCTTGCCGATCTTCTTCGCCTCGTCCGCTACAGTGCGCCGCCAAGTTTGCCTGGGTCGACCACGTTTGCGTTTTCCTTGGGGATTCCAATCCAGAGCCTGCTTAGGGATGTGATCGGGGTCCCTTCGGAGAGTGTGGCCAATCCAGTTCCACTTGCGGCGCTTGATCTGCTGGTCGATCGGAATTTCGTGGCAGCGTTCCAATAGCTCGACGTTGGAGATTTTCTCGGGCCAGTATATGCCGAGAATTTAGGCGAAGGCAGCGGTTGATGAAGACCTGCAGCTGGTGCGAGATAACCTATTGGTGACCTTCCACGTTTCACACCCATAGAGCAGAACGGATTTAACGCACGACAAAGGTGCTTGAGTTTCTTCCGCCATTTCTTCTCAGCATCAGCCTGTATGTTGACCCAAAGTGGTGGTAGGGCAAACTATATTTTTGGTTCTGAAAAGGGCCTAAGTACTGAAATGATTTGATTTAACGATGAAAATACGATGAGTATAATATGGATAGAAGGTTAAGACTGAAAAGCTTGATCGCTTATTGGTCACAGTGCGAAACAAATTAAAGAGGTCATGTTTAACTAGAGAATATATTGGAAATCTATCGCATAACAGTGAAGTAATCGGCAATGGCAATTTAAAAACAGAAAAAATGCATGTGGGTCGAGAAATAAGTAAAAAAAATAAGGTTATAGAAAATGTAGGTTTTGAAAATTTACTGAAACAGATATTTTCTCTGCCATCATTACTTTAGTAATTTTGTAATCAAAAATATTTAAATTTTTGAACATTTTATGGCCATAAGACCATAATTAAGTTCGGTGTCAAATCAATGTAAAATAGTCATAATATGAGTTTGCCATAGTACATCAGCGGACTATTCAAACACTGCTAGCACTCAACACGTTTCACTAAGGATGAATTTACGTGAAACATTACTCAGGCATATCTGTGAATTCCAGTAAAACGCTTCCTTAGAGGGAAATGCAATTCAGCAGTAATATATGTACGAGTATTACATTAAGGGAACCGACGGCTTACAGAATACCTGGAATGTCTATCAAATATGTTATTCACAAGAGCAATTTACCCGAATATGACCACTTCGACATACATATACACTACTACAGTGTATGTAATAGGTGCAACAAACTTTTGTATATACAGGGTGTCCCAAAATTAGCGCGGCACACTGATATCAGAGGTAGATGAGTCTAAGACGCATCATTGTTTACTTTGATCTATTTTCTCAATTAAGTCTATTTTTTTAACATTACCAATATCAGTCATATCCAAAACTCATCAAACTGTTCTATGGATATTATTAACTCAAATTGGTACCTCAAAACTTATGAAACTTTTCTATGAACATACTAGACTTATTCGATGCGTCTTAGACTCAGCTACCTCCAGTGTCAGTGTGACGTGCATGAACATTAAATTGAAAAAAATAATATGCCGAGTGCATACGTCTTAATTACTGGTAAGTTTTTTTTTTTCACTAGAAAATATACTTAAATTTTGGTAGAAAAATATTTTTATGTGCTAGCTACAGTCTGAAAGCGTTAATTTTAGCCAAAATGCCGACATAGCGAAGACCAGGCTTTAGTGTCAAGTTGTTTATTCAAGCTTTACATGTTTTTTATTATAATTGAGTAATGACAGTGGTTTTAACGTATTGCATAGTGTTCATGCTCAATAACTTGATTGATTTACAATGCTCATTTAATAAATAAGCGATGCTATACCAGGTCAAAGTCGAGTGTTCATCCCAGTGAACATTGCCAAATTACCAACAATGTTTGATTGTTCATCCCAGTGAACGTTGTCAAATAGGCTATCAAACGTTTATTTTTGCTTAATTTTATTTCAGAGGACCAATTTCTTTATTTAGAGTTAATTTTTATTTTGTTTGAGTTGTTGGCAGCTTTATACATGGTATATTGCATGAAATGTAATATCTGAATAATATTTTGATGCTTGTAAAAGTGGACATAATTGTTTTCTAAATTTTCATGCAAAACAATTACATATTTTAATTCAGCGGTTGTTTGTAGATTGAAAGTTTGTAGTTCCAAAGAATTTTTTTGATTAACATCATTTTTACTTTTTTATTTAAACCCTGAAGAATATATTTTATAAATGTGAGAGCTGTTTTTTTATTATTTTGTGCGACTTGTACACTTTTAAGTTACATGAACAAAAAAAAATTTTTTGTCTTTAAAAACTTTAAACATTGTTTTACCTCAACTATCACACAAAATTGTATGGTAATAGTTAATTTCTTACTATTTTGTGTACCAAAAAGCGTTTAATACTATAAATTTTACTTTTTATATGAATAATTGTTTTAATTTAATGCCTCTACCTTAAATTGGCAATGTTCACCCCAATGAACAGTTAAAATTCTCCATATATTTGGCAGTGTTCATTGGGATGAACATTGTTTTTTTTCTATTTGGTGAAGTTCCGATTTTTTATATATTTTTTTCTGACCTATAAATAACCCTAAGAACATAAATCCGACAATGTATTTTTATTTCTTGATAAATAATGAGTCTGCCAAATTAAGGGTTAATGCAAATAAATTATATTTGATTTGATTTGATTATTTGATAATTTTGGGACATCCTGTATATTATACCCTGTGACGGCGGATACTGAAGTCCTTTGATGTAGGCCTATTTGACATGGTCTGTAAATCTCAGCTTCCATCTCGATTCTGAATGTTTGTTTGACTGGAAACACTGATCTTGTGTGGTTTTCAGCGCTCTTAACTCTGCTCTGTCTAAATGTTACAAAACTCTTTACGTTATTTATTATTTATCCTTATCTTAAGGCAAATGGCAGATTTATGTTACGCATGTTTTTATGCATAACAAGGCAGGTATTTGACCGCAATCGCACCTGGTGTTAAGTGAGATGCAGTCTAGGATGGATATCCCTGTAAGTGCCTATATACTCTCGCCTTGAAAAGGCCCGGAAAGTGTTCAGGAAAGACAGCAGCAGGCAGCGAATTCCAGTCCCTAGCTGTTCGCATTATAAAAGAGTTATCGAACCGCTTAGTGCGAGCTGATGGAATGTCGACAATATAGGGATGGTAACTACGCTAACCGTCTGGTTCCCCGGTGATGGTTGATATTTGTTACACCATCTAAATATAACTCAAAGGTAACTGACTGACTGACTGACATAGTGATCTATCAACGCACAGCCTAAACCACTGGACAGATCGGGCTGAAATTTGGCATGCAGATGTTATGACGTAGGCATCCGACAAGAAAGGATTTTACGAAACTCCAACCCTAAAGGGGTAAAACGGGATCCACGCGTACGAAGTCGCTGGCGGCGGCCGCTATTTACTCAATATAAATGCAATTTACGGTAACAATACAGTGGTATCTTATAACACGGTGACAGAGGCTATATCGCAACAAAATTGTCCAGTCTGATCTGTTCATAGTTTCAAAATTACAACACTGCATGCACATTTGAATCACATTATTTCACCTCCAAATCGTCCTAATGACTAAATAATGACGTCATTCGAAGGAAACAACATGACTAATCTATAAGGACTGAGTCTAAATTGCAGTTGCTTCAAAGGAAACCCATTGTTTTGACTTACCATCCGTGACCAGCGTGGAGAGCTACAGAATTAGTACTTATACTTATTATCTACGTATTTTTAAATTATTTTGAGTAATACCAGCCGCTGGGGTAGAAAAGATACCACGAGCCGCCAGACGTAGTGTCAGGCCTCCCTCCTAGGTAGACCGACGACCTGGTGAAGGTCGCGGGAAATACCTGGATTCGGGCTGTACAGAACCGGTCTTTATGAAAATCTTTGGGGAGGCCTTTTATCCAGCTGTGGACGTCATTTGACTGTTTTCTCTAGTTTCTCTGTCACTCTTAACTATGTACTCACTTACCTTGCTCCCACCGTGTTCACCTTAAGTGTCCAGTCAACTATGAACTCTATAGAAGAAGAAAAATTAAGCTTTTAAAATATTTAGAAATAATCGAAATTACACATTTAGGTTTTTTATTACCATGAACTACCAATAAAACAACAGTCCGATGTGTAGTTTTCAAGGTAACAAATAAATGTGAAAGCGTACAGAAGATAATAAAAAATGTATACGCCAATATTAATCTTGAAATTGACCTTATCATATTTTTTATAGATGCAATTAGGATAAAAATGTATGGAAAATTTTCATTTTTTTCAATACACTTGAATATATCAATAGGTATTAATAATGTCTAGGTCACCAATTAAATGCTGGATACGATCATATTTATTTCTACATTTCAGATAACTAGTCTCTGCCCACGACTTTATCTGCGTGAATTTATGTTTGATACCTAGGTTAGGTGACTGGGATACTTCTACTCTTCTCGCTCACGCATACGAGCATTCTGTTAAGAGTAAATGAGACACAGATATATAGTCCATCTTTTGAGACTTTTGCATTGGTGACTATTTGTTATTGTCACCCATAATAGCAACTGAATGTGAGTGAAAGAAATAGAAGTGAAGAAGTAGAAAATACGTAGGTACAGTCGCAGAATGAAAAGGTTCGTCACCTTAGTGTCGGTTTTCGCTTGCACTAGGTACCAAACCTGCCAACATAACGTGCAAGAAACAGTGCTGCTAACATTTAAATAAATATGATGTTTGCTAACAAATAATGTTTTGCTTGTTTATTTTTCTATCCCATCAGTGCAATGCAATGATGACATTGACCAATTGACAATAGTTTTTTTTATTTAATAGAAATAATAATGGCAGGTTAACCAACAAGAAGGTTTTAGTTTATCAATCATAATAATCTTCTTGACAAGATAAATCGTCAAACAACTTTGATCTGAATAATTTTGAACTTTACTGACGAACAGTTAAAGATTATTTTCGCTAACTCGAGATTAAACTGTAACATAGTTTCAGAAGGTAATATGTGCTCGCGATTCGTTGAAGGAATCAATTTGAAAACTGACGAACCTTTTCATTCCGTGACTGTACATCGTCGTACCTCTGCAACAGATTAGTAGTGTATGGTGTTATGTATGGTTCCGCTATGGCCGCTGGAGTGGCCTCCGCTGGTGGATGATGATTACCTCACTCTAACCACCCTACCGTATATTGAGACTTTATTTAGCGAGCTTTCCAATATTTTTAATCAGCACCATTTTACCTTATGATTTCTTTAGTGCGTGCGCGCACGAAAGACAAGAATCACAGGAATAGGGATATGCTCCCAGGAATTATTTTCACACTGAAGCCTTTCAAGTATTAAGAAAGCGTCAAAGAGAGCGACATGGGATCATTGTTTCCAATCTTTGATGTAATGGGACACCGTGGTTTGGATGCTAATCACGTCAAGAACATTTAATCATTCAATAAAATATTACTAATTATTCCCTACCTCTACATGCAAAACCCTAATTAGAAACATTAACGGGATTCTAACCAAAATATTCCCAACCTGAGAAGCATTTCTGGGAACAGCACATCTTTAGATGTCTCACGTTAAGCTCACACATATTCACGTCCCCTCTGGTAATATTGAACAAACTAGGAAATTGTTTCAAAGTGCCTACTTTGCGTGTGTGCCTGCACACCGTTGATTTTTCGTCGGCCGATAGTTTAGTCGGGCTGTTGATCAGTATGGGCATGTATGGGAGTGCGCACACTACGCCGATTCGATTTGGCCGATTCTTCATACAATTTGAAATCAGGCACTACTATCGGTCAATTAAAAATCAACGGTGTGCGCCTACTCTTAGAGTACAGCACAAATCCCTCTTATGTATGAGGCCCATAGTAAGCGACCACGTCTCAGATTCATAAGCCATCACTGGCAACACACACTGGTCAAAAGACTTTTGTCTTGAGACACTGCGGAATTTCGGACGTGAGAACATCGCGCGAAGCTTGAGGTGCCTGGATGCGGGCGGCGCAGGACCGGTCTTTGTGGAAATAATTGGGGGAAGCCTTTGTCCAGCAGTGGACATCATTCGGTTTAAACGAACAGCTCAAATCTCGCTAAAGCCCTGAGCTAAAGGCAATCGTTACCGCATCACCACTTTATTCCAAGTCATCGAACTAAGCCTCTTAGAAAATTGCACAAGTACCAACAATAACCTAAACGCGAGAAAATTCCATTCCGGCATACTTACGAAATTGTCGGAAAGTGCCGAACGGTAATCTCTGAAATTACCGCAAACAGTCAAACCCGTTAATAAAAATGCAGTGAAGCATCGCAGACAGCTTTCTATGATATTAATAGCATCTAAAATATAGTTAACTAAGGAGCAGTGAGGTTGAAGTGGAGATTGGCCGTTTTGTTACTTCAAGAACTATACAAATAACAGAAAAGTATAGAATAGTGAATTTTTCACCTTAAGCCCATGCATTCATGGCCATGTGATGGTAGCGAAACGACCGTACCACATAATTTGACTTTAAGGGTGTATTCGACCTTACAAGAGTAAATATTAATCTCAGAATAAACTTGTCATTTTGACATATTTCCTGTACTGAAACTGTCAATGTGCCAGTTATAGGTACCATCAGTTATTCTCGGATAAAAGTTTGGTCGAATCATTCGCACTTCGCTCTGCCTTGGTGGAAATCATAGAGATACAGAGAGATGCCAACTAATGCGCTGAGTTCGAAACTCAGTGTCGCGTTAGAAAATCACACACACAAAGAAACTAAAATATATGCTCATTATCCACTGCGGTACCAGTACTCAACGTTCGTATAATCTTTTGTAATGTAAACCGTTTACATTATGACGTCGCTGCTGTCATCATTGCTTTCACGAGCAATGTGTTCTGTTTTTGGGCATATTGCTGCGACACCGGCCCCGCCCCCTTGTCACATCTCCCTTTAGTTTCTGTGATCTGTGGTCTCAGCGGCCCTACTGCCGTGACTCCATTGTAGGTACAAACCCTCAGCGCTATTACAAGCGCTTGCAGACAAACCGCTCGATCTCAAATAAGTACCTACGAGTGAAAGTCGGACTGAACAAGAAAGTGAGTTTCCGACATCGAGACGTTACTAAAGTGTGCACTCGTACCTTTGTTCTGCACGGCTGACAATACTGGAGACTGGTGATAATAGTCATAAAGGCATCATAATTTAATGATGTGTCCAAACATACTCACATTGGGTAACACTCACTTGGCATATGCCCGTGAGTTATTCTTACACCTTCATAAAAAAGTATAATTCGTTTCACCCATGAAGACGCGCCCCACTAATTTTTGGTCGAGGGAAGCGCGAGGTGCGGGGAGTTTGATCCGAGCAATCCGTCATATTGTATGTGTGTGTGCACTCATGGATGATGTAGCGTGTACCGATAACACTCAAACATTAGCGGAAGAATGGTGGGGCGCGTCTTCGTGGATAAACATCCGCATAGTTATAACCGGTATAATTTTACTAAATCGAATGATATATAAAACACATGCAAATAAGTAGTTATTTGTCCCATGCGGGGATCGAACTCACGGCCCCTGGCGTAATACCGTAAACCCAGTCTCAAGTTCTCAACCAAAACCTGCTGTTTACCGTATGTTAAATCATACGGTAAAACACAAAAGGCTTTATTTGTTGCGGCTTTGTCAGTTTGAAACGAATATCATAAGTGTAACCTCAGTCCGTTCTCGTTTTCGCCATTGACATTCTACGATTTTATGGAACGGCTTTTAAATGGCTCATTAAAGAATTAATTATGGGCTATAAATACGGTACAGTATGGCTAACGGCGCATAAATCCGGAAACCTAATCAATTATTAGAAAATCTGTGCTAATCGAGAACTGTATTTTATATGTATTATCGATGATTTTTACGATTGTGGAGTCGTGAACTTTGTTCTAGTTTGATGCTCGCTCAGTATTTTTGGTGGACTCTCCGATGATGACATACTTAGTGCAGATTCGATTCCTATTAAAATAAAAGTCCACTATTGCATACCATGGCAACCTATAATTAAGGCAGCACTTAGATTAAGTCAAAAACGTTGTAAAGATCGTTTTAGTGTATGCCTTGTTGTTTGTCCTATTAAATAAATAAATAAATGAACGAAGCGAACGAATAGTAGCTCTGAATGCGAAGTGTGCATGACACACACTCTTCGCGATGTAGGTATTGTTCTTATTTTGATTACTTTGTGTGTGTGTGAATTTCTAATGCGACACCACGGCGACACTGAGTTTCGAACTCAGCGCATTAGTTGGCATCTCTCTATTAAATCTGTATGTTGGTACCGGAGCACATTTAATGTATAATCTTGTATCGTAGGGGAGCGCCGCGCCCTAGGCCCGCTTGGCTGGAACCATTACCACTATGGGAACACTAGTTACTTGAGATTATTATAGTTTTTTGTGGATACATTTTCAAGTTCCGTTTTTTTTTTCAGGCGCCAACAAGCCAGCTGTGATAGTGGTGCGCGTGGGCAACAACCGGCCAGATCTTGGAACGAACCCGATCTGCAACCGTTTCACCGGCTTCCTAGAAGAAGGCCAGCCCCTCTTCTTGCCTTGCAACCCTCCAATGCCCGGTGCTTTCGTCAGTGTGCATTTAGAAGCGTCAAGCCCGAGCCAGTTGTCCATTTGCGAAGCTTTTGTGTACACGGACCAAGCGCTGCCCATTGAACGGTGCCCGCAGTTCAGAGACCAGCCCCCTGGCAGCACAGCCACGTACAATGGCAAATGCTACATCTTCTACGACAGACAGCCGGCCAACTTCAGGGATTCCTTGGGCTTCTGCCGGTCTCGAGGAGGCTCCCTGGTGGACGAGAGCAACCCGGCGCTTCAAGGCTTCATAAGCTGGGAACTTTGGAGGAGGCATCGGTGAGTTGACACTTTTATGCTTGAGATTACTGATGGGAAATCCGATGGTAGCTAATGTAATGACGTCTTAAAGAAATACCATGTTATGAAAAAAAGCCTGTTTTCTGACTGTTTATGTACGAGACTATTTTTGAACCTGAATTTAAAATCAATTTTTAAATCAATTAGTTAAGAATATTAAGCATGAGGGGAGCGGTATTTTCCTTGTGAGATAATTATTCCCATATTTGAGGACGTCTAAACCCACTCAATCAATAATGTTGTAGGGAGATAATAGCTAAGAGTTCTACTTGGTACCCGTCTTTCTCAATGGCCCTCAGCTTCATCGGATTTCTCATTAATTTACAACTCTTATTTTAAGTACAAAAACGGATGTTATTTTAATAACAGAGTATTTTTGCATAATATCAGCAGAAAATCATCAGTTATACTCGTACTATGCCATACCAAAACATCAGTGCCAGTTTTAAATAAACAACTTGAAAAAATCGAACTGTCTAATTGGAAGAGCAGTCGCCGGGCCAGCGGAAGGTCGTGGGTTCGAGTCCCGCCTTAGGCAGTTCGATTTTTTCAAGCTGTTTATTTAAAATTTAGTTTGAGAAGCGACTCAATTCGCTATAAAATTTTAATAACGATCATTGCCAATATCGTTGTACCTAGCTACGTACATTTTGAACTCTATGCTGTGTAAACTAAACTCTGTGCTAATGGGGATGTTGCCTGGGTCAAAAAGCAAGAGTTTTAATTAGTCCGTCAGTTAACTTATCAAAAAATACTCTACACGTATTTTTCACTTTTTCAAACTAATGAAAATTTAAAGAGATAAAGCGCCCCAAAGTTCATAAGAAGAGGCCCGTGACGTCAACGCCTGCTTAAAAATGCCGCACGTTGTGACGTCGTGCGCAACTTCAACGCACCATAACTATGTAATTATTTGTTAGATTGACAAATAAAAATATATGTGTCCAATATTTTTTGATATTAAACATTACGGACTAAAAAAAATTTTTTAGGCAACTAGCCTATTGACTTTCATTGCATATGCGAATTGTTAATTGTAATTTCGTAGAAGATAATTTTATTACATACAAATTAAATCGCTGCTAGCTCCTGATTGGGAAAAATTATAAGAGTAGGTACGGCTAGATACTCTTATTTGGATGATGGGCATATTGGGCGTTAAACCAACAGAAACAAAAAGTATACTAAATTAAAGCTTAATACTAGTACTTCATTTCATAGTATGACAACAATCCTGAAATACGCGGGGATACGGAGATAGAGGTCGTTGAATATGCAAAGTTTCCATAGTATTTCACATCACATTAGGGTAATAAAAATAGTATTAGGTCAATTAGATTGCTTTTATCAATCATATTGAGAGTCTTACTATCGATTCTATCGATTTAGTAAGTATGTATACCGAATAAATCATAATCGATTATTCGATTGCAATAATCGATTTTATTGCTGAAAATAAAGAATTGAATTAACAATCAAATGATAGTAATGATGGTAATCAATAAAATTGATTAATCGAATTGTTAATCGATAAATCGTTATTTGGCAATATCGATTAATAATCGATTCGTGATCGATTATGCGACAACACTACAACTTAACTGGTAGAAATCCCATTGAAACATGACTGTGTTCATGTCATTTCTCTAAATGGTACCTAGGTATGGTTGTGGTATGGTCCTACGCTTATAATGTAGAACATGGTTTAAATATATGTACCATTTGTTGGCCCCACTCCTGAACTGTTGGACATAATAATGGATAAATAACTTAATCTATTTAAAAAATGTAAGTAGATAAGTATATTAATTAATAATATTTTTTGTTTGCGCAATAAAGCACCTATTACTATTACACATTATGTCAATTTCCAAGCAAACCCGGGAGTTTTTGGTAGTTATTTATATGAAAATATATTTCTGATATTAAGTCCTAACAAATAATAGTAGTTACATTTCTGTTGGTTTTACGCCCAGATTCCATAGAAAAGTGCCCATCATCCAAATCCATAATTTTAAAATTGAATTATGTAATTTATTTTTTGCATGAATTGCACACCGAAATTGTCGCAAATCTTTGCCACCATTTCAAGGCACAACTTTTTACGTCCTACTTTAAGCCTTTCATTATCAGTATAATTAATTACACTACACTACAACTGTAAAAGTCGCTTTGAAACCTGTAAATTACTGTATTCCAGCCCCAGCCTGCCCTCTCTAATCCTGTCAAAGGATACCAATAATTTCGTCCACCGCATTGAAGGAGCATTATCCTGCACTTCTAGCATGAACAACTTTCGTCTTCGAATCGTATTCGACAAAATTCGATACTCAACCTTCGAATTAAACAATAACGTGACAATTTTGATTCTCAAAATAAGTTTCGTGCAACCATTTCTCATATAAAGTTCACTTTACGACACGTTCACAAGGGCGCTGTTGTAGTTTTCGTATTAAATCTTTTGATGGCGATTCGAATACGCAAACGATTCTAACTCGAAAGATTTTCGTGCTAGCCGTACTGCATACAACATCCGTCTATCCTCAGGGCATATCAACGTTTTCGTTTTGACCAAACAAACACCCATCATTGGAATCCACCAATATTATTCAATTTTGCGAACTAGCTCGAATACGGCTTCTTTTTAGGGTCCCGTAACTCAAAAGGAAAAAACGGAACTCTTATAGAAAAGAAAGAAGAAGAAAGAAAGAAAAAAAGAAAATTGTTTGGCACACTAGAACAACAAATTGCAGAAGAATTAATACGTTAAAAAAATATTTTTTAAATTATGCCTAATAGGCTTACACTCAGCATAATGCCACAGTGCGTAGCACCACGACTCTGGTTTTCAGTGGTCGCCTGATTGTAGTGGTGGAGAGGCGCAGGTAAACATTTAAAAAACAAGACGCAACTGAGGTTTAATTAAAGCAGAAACACCAAACATGAAAATGAGAATAACAAGGCACAAGATCAAATACCAACAGCAGATACGTGCAAACAGTCCCCAAAATTGTTACTTGCTATCATAGGATGACTTAGTTGTCTGACTGTCAAGATCCTTTTTCTCAGGAACGTGTGGAGATATCAAGATGTAATTCATCAAATACTTAGGTATACTGCCCCTTGGAGCTGTGAAACAATCTAAATTCTAAGCCAACGCAATAAGATACAGTCATTTATGCCGCAACTTTTCGAAACTGGCAAGGAAATCAAAACCTAACAGGGTAGCCCGTGAACTCAGAATTTTGAAATTTGGTACCAAGCAACGTCTTAAAGCACAGATAAAAGAAAAATGGCGAATTTTGTATATCTTTTGTACGGAACCCTCGCTGCGGAGTCCGACTCGCACTTGGCCTGTTTTTAGGTTTCAATGCAATCTGATATTTTCGCGTAGTCCGTTGAGTTTTGATTTGTTTTTCAATAAATAAATAAGCCTTCGCTATCTACCTGGGTATAGAATTACAGTTAAAAATACTTTATGTGATGTTCGGAGTTTTATTTATTATCCAATAAAACTTATTAAGTATTATAACGTTATATCAAATAGTGAGATAATTTTTAGAGTAGGTACCACAAAGGTAAATAATTTATTAGATGTTTATAGATTAGAAGCAATATGAGCAGGTACTGTAAATATAATTATGTAACCTATTCTATATAAATACATAAAATTGCATACGTAAATAGTAATACATCAAATTAATATTATGTATGAGTACTATGATCTATAGATACTTACCTACCGTCAAAAAAATTAAGATGACAGTGATATTTAAACCATAACTACAGTTAAGTATTTTGTGACTGTACCTATCTATACCCTTAAGTTATAAAATTCTATCATAATATGGAAAAAGAAAAGTTATAAAATCAGTTGCATAATCCAACTAAAGGAAATCCATAAAACTTCCATGCAACCAAACGTCAACTTTCTAACAACTTATTAATTAATTTCACAGATTATTTCATCTTACGTGAATGAGTCAATGACATGCGAATTCACATTATTTATTGTGACTAGGATCTAAAAATAGATACGAATAATTTAAATTATTACATAACAACTACATTGTATCTATGCAATTTATATATGGCATGTATTTAAATGATCTTTTGAAATTAGCAAAAACGGCAAATAAAAAAATTTAAATGGTCATCTGTTTTAATGATTGATCCTCTTTCTTTGAGACATAAAATAAATGAAATCGATCGATATATTAACCTCTTTTGAACTACGCAAAAAAAAATTGAGATGTAAAAATTATATCTGATCATTACTTGTTGGTCCTCAAAAATAAAAGAAATGAGCACCAAATATTCAATATTGTGATACTTTTTTAAATTATTCGATTTGTATAAATTATTTTTTGTCTATATCAAATAATCTTCAAAATAATTATGTTATGGTACTTATTTTTATTAAGTTGTAGTCAAAGGATGGAAACTATTTAAAGGTACTTGATGTTCAAAGATTTCTTTTTATGAAAAAAGCATACTTAACGCGATCACACTGCGTTATCCGGTCGAATTGACCTTAGGTGCTGGATGCGTTGGTGCGGGATGGATATATTCGGTCTTTTCAGTAGTACGAAAGATAAATATTGTTTTGCAATTGTTTCGTCAAACACAGTAAATATTTGGAAAAAAAAACTTATCAGGTCCTTACGACCCGATGTCGCACTAAAAGTAAACAAATATCGTTTAGTGCTTTTATCGTGTCTAATCGACCCGTTGACAGATGACTTTATGGTCACTGATCACGGTCGAGATCGGTATACTAAGAGAAAATCAACCTTGCGATTTGAAAAAAATAAAGAGGTAAAAATTATGATGTCGGGTTCAGGGATGTCAGAAGTAAGAAATTATTTTACATAGCGCCTCTAGTCCCAAACTAAGCAAAGCTTGTAATTTAAACAAACATGGCAATGTACCATTCTGCTTGCTTATTGGCCGCTAAGCCCTTGGCCAACTCAGTAACC